GACATATAAGAGTGCACTATTTTGTCTCTTTTTGAAGACATGTTCACGGGATGTACGAGCTACCTAGCTTTACAGCTGGCGTGCATGCTATTTAGAACACCCATGACTTGCAATGTGACATACATTTTTTTATCTTATCAGAAAGGGTTCAACCACACAAAAAAAATACCGGGGATGTGCGGGGATTCCTATATGTTTATAATGAACACAAAAGCATTTTGTAGGAAATGTTTATTTTTTTACTCTTACTTTTACTTTTATCCCCTTTTTTTAAGATAACTACCAACCATATTCATGTTTATTTACGCTCGTATTTTCTCTGCTGGTGAATACTCTAAAAGGAATTCAAGGCTAAAGCCTCGAAATAGCATCTTATGATTCTAAGCTGGTGGGGCTCGCATGTGTACCTTCCCTGTCTTGTAGCAAAGGGATCCTAGGCTGGTGGAGCCCACAAGTGTACATTTTCTATCTTGTAGCAAGGGGATCCTAGGCTGGTGGGGCCCGCAAATAATTCAAGTTCAATGTTATAAATAGAATGGGGTTTCAATTCATCCCATTTCTGTAAAGAGCTTTTGGTGAGGGACTTAGGTGTGTACAAGTCAGGCGCTAGGAGGAAGAGGTTTGATTCCTACTCGTTAGTAAACGGTTGATTCCCTTAAAGGTTCACGATATGTTGCATTTTGTTATGACTTGGATTTCTCTTATATTTTTTTTTCAGTGTCGGGAGCCTAGGGTGTCGTGTGTTTTATTTTTTCTTGACTTAGAATTTTATATGGATTTTAAATCTTTTTGAAATTTTCTAAGTCATTGGTTATGTTGAAAATTCGACAGCACTCCGACGTCGTCCCCGCGTAGGAGGCTGGATCGAAGTGTGTAAGGCATTCCCGTCTGCCAAGAAAGGCAGTCACGATAGGTGTCAAATAACACCAGGGCCGCAGTCTCGTTCCCCACTTGTTAACAAAAGCGGTCACGGGGTCTTTAAGTACATGTTTAAAGCACAGTATTTTCCCCGCCTAAAAGCAATGACGGATACTTAATTAAACAATTCTTTTACAAATAACAATTTTTCCTGCTCACTAATAAAAGCGGTTACGGGTACTTATATTTCATGCATACGAATTTCCCTGTTCGCTGATAAGAGCGGTCACGGGTAGGGGTGTAAACGAGTCGAGTCGAGTTTAGGCCTTATCGAGCTCGGCTCGTTAGTCGAAAAGCGAGCTCGAACTCGAGCTCAGAGACTCGAGTCTGAGCTCGTACAGAAAACGAGCTCGAGCTCAAGTTCGCCTCCTAAAACAGCTCGAGCCCGCGTCTAGAATTCAATTTGACATTTTTACCGACCCATGGCCATTTTCTATTTCTCCGCATCCGATTTTTATTTTCCCGTCCGTCCACTTTTAAGACAGCTTGTCAGTAATTCCACAAAAAAAGCAACACTGTCAACGTAAGAACGCATTAACTTTGATAGCATCATGCAAATGTCATTAATGGGCCATTCATAATTATATATATTAAGAATATAATTATATATATATTTTAATAAAAATTAACTGTACTAGCCTTACCCTAATTAAATAAAATAATAATCATTACATATATTTTAATCATATATCTAATAATACGATATATTATAATTTATTTTACTTAAATCATATAATTAAAGAGCCGCTCGCAGAGCATCACGAGCCGAATCCAGGTCAAAGCTCGAACTCAGAGCTCAGTTAAACGCATTCAGAGCTCGATATATAGGTTGAGCCTCGAGCTTCTGTAGCTCTTTGAAGCTCGCATAGCTCGGGCATCGCATATTAGAGACTCGTTAACGAGTCAAGTTCGAGCCGGCTCACGAGCCGACTCGGCTCACTTACACCCCTAATCACGGGTACTTAAGTTTCCTCGCTCGCTAACAAAAGCGATCACGAGTACTTATTTCATGCAAAGAAATTTAAAATGTTAGTGTCGGGTTTTTTACCTTGTGTGTGCAGTAATCGAAGCGACGACGACGAATGACGGCGACGGTAAGAAACCTGTGATGTACAATTTAATTTTTTTTAAATTATTTGTTCAATAAAATTAATCATATATGTCTTTTTTATTTAAAGCAAAGGCTAGAGAGAGAAAAATAGAGAGAGCTCTCTTTCTAGAGAGAGAAAGAGAGGATTTGATGATAATTTGCATGGAGATGGATTTAGGAGGTGTAAGGAAATGGTAAGAGAGGTTTAGAGAGAGAAAATCCATCTTTTCAATTTTGGAGAGAGAAAGAGTGAAATTTTTCTCTCTAGGAAGGGAATTATGGGAAAACAATGGTGAAGGGAGATGTTTAGAATGGAGAGGGAGTCATGTATATAGTAATTTCTCTCTCCTAAAGAGAAAATTAAGGGAGATGTTTGGAATGGAGAGGGAGTCATGTATGAAGTAATTTCTCTCCTAGAGAGAAAATTTTCTCTCTCTAGGTTAGAGAGAGAAAATGGAGGATGATGTGGATTTTTTTGTGGTGAGTGTAGGAAGTGTAGGGAAATGTTTTTTTGTGAAGGGTGTTTTGGTGAGTGGAAGTGGAGAAATAAAAAAAAAGGATTAGAGTTTTTGTAGGTTTAGAGAGAAAATGTAAGATGAAGATGAAGATGAAGGAGAAGGAGAAGAAGAAAGAGAAAAATGGAGGGAAATGAAAGGAAATGATGGGAGAGGAAGAGAGAAAAAGAAAAATGGGGAAGAGGAAGAAGAGGGAAAGAAGAAGGAGAAAGAGAATGGAGGATGGAGGAAGAAGAAGAAGAAGAAGAGAAGTTACCTTGCTTGGAGGGAAGAGGGAGGCCAGTGGCTTGGAGTCGTGTGAGGGAGAGGGAGTTCGCGGCTCCTTGGCGTGAGAATGATCGAGAGATGAGAGTGGGGGGCGGTTGGGAGAGAATATGAGGGCTTAGGGGTTTAAGTGAGGGTATTTTAGGTATCTTGGGTTTTTTTATTTAGAAAATTATCTTTTTATTTAAAATATCTCTTTCTCTCTCTTTCTAAAAAAATTTATATTGCACAAAATAAAAATAAAAATTTAATCTTCCATCATGTTGGTCATCGCGTCGCCGCTCGCACACATTGTCGCCTCGATTCGCACGCCCAAAATTTAAATTTTTACCGATCGACGACCCCCATCAATATGGGTGCTGATCTTAGCTGTTTATGTTGCTCAGGACGCATCAGCGCTGTTCGTTTCGTGAACGGAGGTCATCTCGGCGATTTTGGGTTTTAGGTCGACACGCGTCGGGAGTTTTTTTTTTTTGCGCGATTTCGAGCTCTTTCGCTTTATTGGTACATCAAAGCACCCCCATCAATAAAACCATTTCAAAATATTGTAGTCCTATATCAAAGCACTTTAAATGGAAATGGAAATGGATGCACCTTTATTGATACATTTAGACGATGCTCCTGTACTAATTAAAATAGAAAATTAATAAATATTAAATGAAAATGAATAAATGAAACAGGATAAAAATAAGTTAAAAGAAAGATATGTTGTAAAAATCTACCACATATAAAAGATTATGCATATGTTAACTGTGTAAGAAAGGTAAAAGAATAAACATGTTTTAATTTATATATTTAACTGTTATATATGAAATTGTGTTTATCCACTAAGTTTATTATGTAAACTCAAACTGTAATACTAAAATTTTAAGGTAAATCTTCAAAAAAGTAGAAATGGTTGAAAGAGAAAAATACATCTACAGAAGACAGTGATCGAATGAAAGCAAGTAAAATATAAGTTAGTGACTCTTCAGTTTTATATAGGATGTAATTGATAATTTGTTTTTGAATTTCAAAGAAATGTTTCAACTGTCCAATTTTTTGTTTCCGCCTCGTTAATTTAAGTCTCCGGGCCAGTCTGTGACACCTAACGCTGGTTTTGAAATTTAAATAGGGTTAAAAGGCAATGGTAAGTCTTGTAACTTGTAAGTCATAGATTTTCCTCCTTCCAAGATAAGTCAATCATGTTTCAAATGGGCGGCGCCATGTTGATCTTAGGAGCACATCTATAAGAGGACCTATTGGTGGTCACGAGCACACAAGTCAGGTTTGAGGGGTTAGATTTCAGTACCTTTTATGGGAGAAAATTTGAGGAGCACGACAGTCCTAAATTCCCTGGGTACAACGCTCATAGATCACGATCTTAGAGATGATTGCATACCTTCCAGCATTAGATAAGTGGCTTCTAGCCGATAGCCCCTCCTCCCTATTAATCTTTGAACTGAAACCACACGGACAACTCCATGAGGCCAGCAGCGAGGGTACGGTTGTGGTTGTATAGGAAGAGACGTTATGAAGAGAAGCTAGTAAAGTTTATGTTGTTTCAGATTATCATTATGATGTGAAGCCCAACCCCATGCAACATTGTAAAAAGGATTAATTCTACCCAAGAAGTCTAGCATTCATTAAGAAAGTTGTGAGCAGGAACTAAACACCTAGAGCCAAAGATCTCGCAGCGTGACAATTCTGAAAGCAAGAAGAACAGACTTGATGGAAAAGCAAAGTCAAAATCTCAATGCCAACATTAAGTGGAGGATGACTTTTGCTCACTTCTCAGCTTACTTGTCAAGCTTATGAAGCATAACTTTCACCTACATGTAACCTCTTCAAACAAGAAAAAGAAATTATGCATTCCTTTACTTATCAATACAGCTCATGCATAACCCTCTCTTCAAGCCAAAACAGGAAACCTGATACCATGCAAAGCATGGTGCAGATAAGATAAAGGTGAAAATAGTGGTAGGAAAATAAAGATGATTTTTTTATAATTAATTCAGCAAGGATGTATTGGTAAACTTTCAATATTAATTGGTTTATTTTGACAGGCTGAAAAACCAACAAATTTTCTAGGGCACTAAACCAAGGTTGGATAACAAAAAACCATTTAGCCAACTTGGAACTAATCATAGATATATAAATAGATGAAGATTGCACAACCAACTGGCAGTAAGCATGACAATAAAAATGGAAAGATATACAGAAATGTGGCATACCCTCCTTTAAGATCTGCATGTTTTTGGTCTATCTTAAGTCTCACTTCTAGTGCTACTGCAGGTTCATCTAGGCCCTGAACTAAATCAGTCAAAACTTTGCTACCACTAGTAGAAACTGAAGCTCTGGCAGAAGCAAGTTTGTTTAAGATCTTAACCTGCAGGGAACATCAAAGCATTGAAATTGAAATTGCAGGATGAAAAAAGAAAAGGAAGCACAAAAACTGATGACAAAGGAAATTAGGCTAATATAGTCTTAAAAGAACCTTAGACCACTCATGAGAAGAAAAATGGCGATTTAAAATACATTAGGTAGAGTATTGAAGAGCAAATGTGATTGTATGCAAGGCTCTTCAGAAGGATGACAATATAGCTTGATTACATAACATTACAGGTTTCCAACCAGAATAAACTATTAAATATCACTTTATGTAACAAAGTGCATGGGCCTACCATAAGGTATGCTCCATCATCAAGCCAATGATTCTCCTTTAAAGCTCCATGACCGCTGGTCTCAATAGCCAAATGTGTTTCTTGACCAATCGAATTCTGCAATATTTTTATTTAGTTGAATTGTTAAAAAATAGGAAAAGCAGCATTGCAAGAAATTTATTCTAGACGATATATGAGACCAGAACAATGAAGATGAAAGCTGATTGATTAATACTACATAACATGGCATCATCGTCATTAGGCCTCATATATTAGATTCAACTTTATAAATAAAACTCCATTTATTCGAAAAATTGATGCATTTGATCAAATGTTGCTATAATCTTCTCAAACAACATCTACCTAAGTCATTTTTGGTCAATCAATTTTCATTTCAAACCCATTCACATTAATTTTATCCACCCACCATAATGATATTATTGATACATATTCAATGGTAGAAGCCCAAACCACCAAAGTCTTCCATTACCTTATCTTCAATAGGTGTAGCACTCATTATCTCTTAAATAGAATCATTATGCTGTATATTCATCTAAATTTTACCTTATCAATCTATACTCTCATTTTTTCACACTCCACTTAGCTATTAGCAAGCTTCGAGGCCCAGCACTTAGTAACTTTGACATAAGCCCAACACCTAATACAAGTAATATAGTTGATCAAATTGCAATTTTATAAGATGTAGCTTGCAATTCTATATGAAAGTTTCTGCTCACTTAGTGCTCATTTTATCCATCAAATTCAGTTCCAGAAACGCTTCTCTCATATCTATATAATCATTGTATGATAAATCAAACATACTAAGACCCATCACTTTAAAATATAAAATAAGCATCAACTGATTGTCATGAAACTGCGTAGGTTTAGCTTATTGGCCTACAAATCGTTATGAAATATCATTTGGAGTATGATAAGTGACTCAAATAGATCAACTGCCCAAATGAGAAATGTATGGTCATCATACACCTATAAATCTGATGCGTCTTGGAAGCAAAAACAACAATATAGCTAGAAAACAATTGCAGGAATACAGATATGCGGGCTGATTTTTTTATTACTACTTAAACAATAACGAAAGATACAATTGATCTACTATTCGAGAGGTAAATGGCTCTCCCACAAATCCTAGCCGCAGCTAGGAAACTTACACAAATCCTAGAAAATAAACTCAGCACATATATGATCATAACCTTAAACAAACCTCCTTAAATAGCCCTCACACACAATGAACACAATTAGAACGTTCCTAATCAACATAAACACAATTAGGAAACCTTCCTAAATAGCATAAACACAATTGGAAAACCTTCCTGAATAATTTTAAAAATCCTAAACATCATAAACACAATTAGTAAACGTTCCTAAACAACGCCCCCCACCCCCTTCCTTTTGATTCCTCCTCCTTACACAATGAATAATAGCTCCCCTGGGCCCCACTCCTCTGCTGCCCCTATTCCCACCAAGACCAAGGGTTGGACCAGCCAAGTGGCCCCCCCTTTGCATATCAATATCACACAAAAAGCAATCATGGTTGTTATTTAAATCTAATAATATTTTACGTTGCAAGGTAAGAAAAAGTTTTGCGTACACAATTTAGAGTGATTCATATACATAACTTGGATTAAGAGAATCCTTAACTGTCCTAAGTTCTAACAAATACTTTTTATTCATTAATAGTCAATCATGAATGCAAGCCATCAATCCAAATTTATAGAAATAGAGTTGCAACTTCGATTAAGAGAATGCTTAAATGTTCTCACAAGTACAATTTCTTCATCAATACTTACTCATGAATGCAAGCCATCAATCCCAATTTATAGAAATAGAGTTGCAAAGATAATGACAAATAATTTAAATTCAAATATAAGCTTATCTAAAATTTGATATAATCCTAACCAAACATTCAACTTCAAACCAAATCTTATCCAAATAATAATTCAACTTTATTAATTAAATTTAATAAAAATAAGAAAAATTTTGCCAAAAATAAAGATAGGACATAAAGGTCTAAATATTGGTTCGTTTCGGCCTTATTATATCCTAGTTTGATTTCTTGTAAATAACTTATGAGAAACAAAAAATTTTGTAGGTTGATTTGTATCAACCAATTTATACTACATCAAAATGATTTTCAAGAATTTTTTAAGATAAAAAATGAGTAAATCATCTATTATTGAACATAGAGCACTCGACAACTTCAAAAGGCTATTTTAGGAGGTATCCCACTTTTGAATCACAAGATGATAATTAAAAAGTGGGAAATATGGCAAAATATTACAACATATCAAAAAACATTTAATAGTTGGAATATCACAAAAATGGTTATTACATAAAGAAGAGATAAAACAATAAAAGTCAAATTACAAACTATTTGAGAAGCTTCTTTTTACTTACCCAATAATTAACTTCCCAATCAAAAATTTAATAGTTGGTTTTCTATTCTTTTGATTTTTCTTACTCCTACTTTACTTGCATTGCTTTATTGATTTATTATCGTGATTGTGTGATGAAAAATATAGTAACATGGATGTTAATTGCTTTACAAATTGCTTGAGAAAATTGATCTTGCAAGTTGTACAAGTCACTAGAAAAATTTAATAAATCAATCTTGTGATCAAGAAATGTGTGTTGTGGAGAATACTTTTTAAAGATCAAAAGAATCATGATAGAATAATCCTTTGTTTCAAGTAATTATTTTGAGAATTTTGGTATTGAAAAGATAAAAATAAAATTGCCTGTGTTCTTGTTGAGTTAGCATACCTTGTTTGAACAGCCATAACTTGTTTTTAAGCAAAAGAAAAAATAAAAATCATATACATTTACTGAATTTTTTTTTCACACCAGTTCAACCCCCTTGGGTGTGCCACACCTTTCAGGCTTTCAAAAAGGAACAATCATTTCTTGAGAACAAAATCCAAAGTAAAGTGCAAAAGCGATAGAAGAGATTTACTATCATCCATCTCTAAGAAGGAGAGCTTCAGAAATCAACATAAATGACCTTGTGTTCAATCATTCTTTATTTATCAATAAAATCATTCCCTTGCTTCTATTTAGTAAATCTCTTTGATCGAGTAGTCTAATTTGGTTTATGCTTGATCTTTAGTCATCTAAAGTAGTTCCCAAACTCTATTTAATCTGCAATGTTCCTTTAGGCAAATGGAGACCCAATTATGTTCCAAAGTAAAAGTCTGCTAAAGCAATGTTGGCTAACGGTAGTGCCCAGGGCACGATTATGTTTCCATTCAGAGAAATAGAGTTCAATGTAACAATTCAATTAAAAAGTTGTCAAATCCAATACTATCATAGACAACAAATTAGTAACTGATCAACAAATTAGATCTCACCAAACGAATAGCTTCATCAATGACATTTTTGTATCCTCTCTTGAATCGATGATGCTTTCCTCCTTCAAAATGCAAAAATTATTTAGTCTTTCAATTTAAGAAAAATGTGTAGACCAAATGATGACTTACCAAGTTTCTTTTCGATAAAAGTAGTCAAACCATCTGAAGTCACACTGTCCGTAACAATAGTTGTTCCAGGATGCTACGTGGAAGTAAATACCAACAAGGTGAGACATATGCAATTGGATAGTTAAAAGACCAATATCAACACACTTTAAAAATAACAAAGACCATACTTCCTCAAGCACAATAGCAGACATCAAAGCTATCAATCTATTGCGATTGAACTCAGAACCAGTAGAATCCACAGCAGCGGATCTGAAAGAATAATTACATTCAGAAGTAGCCATTTTTTACTTCAAAATAGAAAAGGATCAAAATGATCCCTCAACTCATTAGGTAGGACCAAAAGGATCCCCAAGGACCCCAACTATGTTAAGTGACCATTTTGATCCCTCGACTCTTAAAAAACAAAAATAGTCCCACCTTCCAAACTATTGCATGTTAAATTTAATGGGGTTAAAATTATAGGTATTTTAGGAAGTGACCTTTGGAATTAATTGGCCTTTTATGAGTGGGATGTGAAACAAGAGTGAAATAATATTTGAAAATTTATCAAACAAAATAGCAGTGCTTTGGAAGCCAATAAGAACTTATGAGACGATGAAATAAATTCGCTCAATTAATTATTGAATATTTTTATCACTAATATTTGTTACAATATATCTAAAAACTGTAAGACAATAGTGAATATTTCTATAATTTTATTTTTATTCTATTAGATGCTATCTTTCTTAATAAAAAGGGTTATATTAAGAATTATACAATAGTTTTTCATTAAAAAAAAAATCTATAACACTCATAAAATTATGGTCTAAATTATATTTTTGTTAATCTGTAGAGCCTTAACAAAAATATTATAACTATACAATAGTTTCTCAATTAAAAAATATATATAATACTCACAAAATTTTTTATTTTGTTTATAGTAAATTTATATATTTTTTTGCAAACAATGTCTATAAAAATACCTCCCACTAGTTGCTCGATTAAACTCAGCTGATCGTGATTGCATGGGTGCTTGACTGAAAGCGATGACTAGGCAGGTGGGAGTTTAGTGTGCAACGATATGTTTCGCCGAAAGACGTCAACTCCATGGACGGGTCTCCTTGCTGCTGATGGGTTCGACTTTGCTAGACATCGACTATTAGGGGCAGAATTTGGCAGAAGAAGCACGTGAAAGAAAGAAAGATAGTTGCTTTGACAGCGAGCGAGCACCCTATTAAAATGTCGCGACTTTCAATATGACAGGAAGATAACGTCGTTGAAGGAGCGAAGTCGAACAGCAAAAAAATAGCAAATGCAAAGAACAAGCGATTGTTGGGGTGCGATTTTGCTGGAGTTCAACGTTGCCAAAGGAGGCGAAGACCGGTCAGCTGCAAAGGTTCGACTTCATCGATAGTTCGACGCCGGGTTCTATGCTAGCCTCCTTTGAGTCGATCTAGGGTTTCGACGCTGAAGGAGTTTGGATGTTGCAAGGATTTTCGTACTGGTTAAAATTCTCGCAATTTTGATTTCAACTCTCGGAATTTATAGCGGCTTCGAAGACGAATTTAGAGTAATTAGTATATACCCTCTAGCGATGGATATCTTCGTTACTTTTTTGTTTTTTACCATTAGAGAAGTAACGGTGATACTATTTTGGTTTGCTTTTAAGAGTTGAGAAGCCAAAATGGTCTCTTAACATGTTGGGGACCATTTTAAAGGGACCATGTTAGTTCTTTTCTTAAATATATATAAACATAAGCAAAGACAATACTAGCACCTGTCGACATCAGTGTCAAAGATGATGCCCAAATCAGCTTGATTATCAAGGACCGCCTGAATAATTGCTTTCATAGCTGCTTTGTCTTCAGGGTTTGGAATGTGATTGGGAAAGAAACCTGATATCTAGAATAATATATAAATATGACCACTCTGCTGCTATGAAGCGTGCAAATTTATTTGTAAAGATATTACCATTTGGATCCAAGAACTGACTGCCAGATGTGACCGCACCAAGAGGTTCTAGCACCCTCGCCTGATAAAGAGCATTTTCAGAGCATAATAAATTCATAAGTGGACTATGTTAACATAATTGCCATGGAAACAAATTTTCTTCAAACAGATATAGGCAAAATAAATTGGTGCCAAGCAATCACTGGAATTATTATTCAAGACAAAAAAATTGAGAACCAGGAAACATATATGAGCGCATTCCTATGGATTGTTCTAGGACACACTATTTTAGCTAACACCAATATTGGGATGACATATATCAAATTTACACTATGCAATCTTAAATTCCTCTTGAAATAGAATATTAAGAGAACTTGAAAACTACTAAGATAATACAAACCTACTGGGGGAAAATGCCACCTACATGTAAGGAAATTGACACAAAATAGCAACTAGGCATAACAGATGTAACATTCACTCTAAGAGAGCAATAACGTGTGATTTATCCAGAAGTATCAGTGAGTTGGATGAGAAAAAGGAGCTGCGGAATGGACCAATAAGAAAGAATATTAGAAATACCATCAACTGTTCATTTTCTAATATTATGGTCTAAAGCATATTTGTTGTATCAAGCATTTCAAGTCAATAACAGTATAGGAGGGAGAATTTTTACTCTATGAATCCTGAAAGCAAATAAAGGGAGCATCCCTGTTTGAGCTATAACCTATGTTGCACTGATACACCTATTTATGAAGGCATGTTGTATCCGATACACCAACACACAGATACGCCTCCGATACTACACCGATATGTGTCGGATACGGCTTTGTCGTATCCAATTAAAATACAATTTAATTTCAAAAGGACATGTGTATCCGATACGCGTGTCCGTTGAAAAACAAAAAAATCCAAAAAAAAAAAAAAAACCGTCGTATTTACTTCTGCGGCTGCAAGTGAGGTTCTCTCATTTCCGAGATGAATTTGAGTCTCTTGATGATATGGGAATATTAGAAATTGCTAATCTTTCACTTGATGAGCCTGAATTAGAAGCTATGATATTTATTTAAGATGATATACAAGTTCAAAGACAAACCACTGAAGAAGCTAATCATATCATTCCTTCTATTTAATAGTTAAAACTTCATATGCTAGACAATTTAAATTTATGCTTTTGTTGTTGTACTAGACAATTAATGCTTACTTTTATTTTGATATTATAAGCTACAAGGCTACAAATGATGTTACTTTTTTTTTTGTAATTTCAAATATTATGTTTTGATCGCTTTCTTAATTTTTATGTATGATTTATAAATTATAATGACGCGTCCGCGTCGTACCCGTATCCTGTATTTTTAAGAATTGGCGCGTCCCGTATCCGTATCGTGTCGTATCCGTGTCGCCGTATCAGTATCGGTGCAACATAGACTATAACCCATGCTCAGCCATTACAATATGAAAATATAGTGAATGCATTTCTTATGTTCTTTAAAAATCTACAAGACATAAAAATCAAATCAAGAACTTTTCTGAAATAAATCCACATCATTTGATCATAATTATCCCTTTTCAATGATGTAAAACTCTTCCTCTACCAATCTTCACGGTTTTACTACACTACTTTCCTTGACATCATCACAAAGCAGCTCATGCTTGCTCAATGTTAAAGAATTTACACAAATATAATACCATTGATGGATAAGATTTTATGTCAGGATATTGAACTTGCAGTTAAACAAGTGCTGCTTTATATACATTTTTGCTATCAACACAAGGAACAATATCTTGTAGAACTAATAATAAGAAATAACGTGGGCAAAACAATAGAATCCAACTCACAAAATAATTAAAGGTAAATCAAAGGCCTTCACTATCTATAGATCCAAATAAGAAAAGATTAGTGATAATATGCATGCTGGTTTGGCAAAAGAACAAAAGAGGGGTAATGTTACCGCGAAGAATCCACCAGCACCATTACCCGCATCAACAACGATGTGGAATCCCTCTAATGGCTTCTCTGCAAGATATTTACTTCAGGAAAATAATATAAATTAAACTAACAGCAGGATTGTTTACGTATCAGAGATATCTGATAATCAGATATCAATAAAGACTCCCTCCTTTTAACTCTAGATCTTACAATCTTGAGTTGTTACTTGCAAAGCAGCTATTGAAAATCACCTTTAGTTTCAACAGTAAGAAAAAAAAAAAAAATGGCAATCCAAGTGTATAAGATCCATATATCAAAATAATACCTATATTACTTGCAAAGCAGCTATTGAAAATCACCTTTAGTTTCAACAGTAAGAAAATAAAAAAAAAATTGGCAATCCAAGTGTATAAGATCCATATATCAAAATAATACCTATATTACCAGCAGCTTGGCGGACGGCCTTTACAAGATCAGAAGTATAGACTGTCATATATTCAATCTTTTTAAAAGATAAAGATCTATCTTGTACGGATTCCTTCAAACTTTCAGGTAAGAACTTCTCATATATAATTCTTGCCCGCTCCAAAATGTCTTTAATGTCAGTTTTACCCAGTCCACCAGTATTAGTAAAAAATTTGAACCCATTGCGATTGTAAGGAAGATGGCTGGCTGTATACAAGAAAGTTTCAACAAAATATAAATAAATTTCTTAACAATTAATCAGAAAAAATACTTCTATAATGAACCCATTGCGATTGTTAGGAAGATGGCTGGCTGTATACAAGAAAGTTTCAACAACAACAACAACATCAAGCCTTTGTCCCACTACATGGGGTCGGCTACATGAATCTTTTTTTTCCATTGTGTCTTGAAGAAAGTTTCAACAAAATATTAAAAAAAAAAAATTAATAATTAATTAGAAAAAAAATACTTCAATTATTAAGCATAAAGACTTGAATGGAGGCAAGCATATGTTTAATGCATATTTTAACATATTCTTTAAAGTGATGAAGGAAACCTTGAAAACATGTATGATGCACGTCCTGAAAAATAAAGCAAACAAAATCTAAAGAAACCAAGTTTTTAATGTAACTTAAAATCGAGTAAATTAGTGAACTGGTCTACAATAAAGGGAGTGACAGCACAGGAATTGAAAAAAAAAAAAAAAAACTGGACAAGCGGTAGAAATTATTTCTATAGAAGAATGACAATTTGCATTTCCAAAAGGATCGAATAGGCCACAGATACTATTGGGAATTTCTTGGAGGAAGAGAGAGCTTCTTGAATTTAGAGGGAGAGAGAAGGGAAGAGGGAGGGAGAGAGCAAACAGAATTTGAATATTATTGCTTGGCTTGGAGAGGGTCCCTATTACAATCTTTTGCAATTATTTATTGACAAACAAAAGAAAACTCTAACCAAAGGTTATAAAAGGCTACACAAAGAAATGCCTAAATAAAAATACACATATAACTAACATGAATTTGGACCAAATACTAACAATCTCCACCTTGGTCTAATTTCACAAAAAAAAATGACAAAAAAGAAAAATAGAAGAAAGATCTTGAATGTTTCCCTGTCTTGACCGAGAGCCAATGCTCCACCTGCTTTCATCAAGAATAGTGTCCATCCAAGAAATAGGCCGTCTGCCTATCCCCGAGCAGCTTCCTACCCACAAACCTCTCATGCATCATGTCATGCTCACCTCCGGCACTCCTATGCATTTGCTTCTGCGCGGCACACGCTCATGCTTCAGCACCGAGTACACTCTGGCTCGCCTGCTTCCCTGGGCACCCGTGTGAGCTCCGACCCGCCACTACGCACGGGCCACCACCCATCTAATCCCCAGCCCGATGCCCACTTCTTTCGCACTCTTGCTTGCGGATGCCTCCGAGCAATCTATCCCACATGCTCCGCTCTGACTGAACACCAACACTGGTTCTCTTATGCGCGCTCCCTACCAGTCCCGACCCGACTCCTCCAAATCATGGAGGAAGCTGCTTGTCTCCATCGAATCCACTCCCACAGGAAAGATCCTACTTCCCAACTCCTTCGATTGCAACAGTAAATCCCCTCTTAGCTCCTTCTACAATCTCCCTTTGCATACCAAGACTCAATCAAACCCCTTCATATTCAACCCTATCTTCTCTCCCCCACATCTCCACCAAAAGCCCTGCGACCTATCCACAGCACCCAAACCCCGCACAACAACTTCCTCCCCCACTTTCGCCCACACTAGCCAAGCCAGCACAACGCACGATGCCTACCCCCGCGTCTGCACAGCACCTGCCTAAGTCATCCGCCCGCACGCATCCTGCGACCTACACCCCACATGTTCTGCCATGCAACACCTGTCGCAGACCCGCGGCCCCACCTCCGCTTCACGCTCAGGCCCCCGTTCTCACAATCCACACGCCCCTGCATGACCCAAGCCCGCTCGACCTCAGCTAGCCTATGTTCTGGCACCAACAAACAACTCCTATCTCCTAGGCACAATCACGCGCCCAGCATGAACTCCAACCCACTCAGATCATCTGAAACGCTTGCCTATGTGCACTCCCAAGCCCGCGATCCGCCCGACCACCTCCCCTTTTTTATCACAAGAACACCTTCCTCCTTCCCCGTGATCACCTCCATCAAGCTCTGATACCAATTGTTGGGAATTTCTTGGAGGAAGAGAGAGCTTCTTGAATGTAGAGGGAGAGAGGGGTAGAGGGAGGGAGGGAGCAAACAGAATTTGAATATTATTGCTAAGCTTGGAGAGGGTCCCTATTATAGCCTTTTGCAATTATTTATAGACAAACAAAAGAAAACTCTAACCAAAGGTTAAACAAGGCTACACAAAGAAATGCCTAAAGAAAAGTACACTTATAACTAACATGAATTTGGACCAAATACTAACAGATACATTTAACACATAATTTCTAGATTGTAGATGTAAATGTATATTATATAATTTTTGGATTGTAGATGTAAATGTACATCATACATGAACACACAGAAAAAGAGAAATCGGCTATGAACCTAACAGGAAAATGTGAGCTTTTCGTATACCTTATCTTTTTAATATATTTTAAGTTTTAACCTACAAAAACGGCATACCTAATGCATGAAGCTCCTCCAGTATAAGGTCAAGGGAGAGGTTGGTGTATGCAACTGTTGCTACTCTTAGCTTTGACAACCAAAAATATACATCACCAATGCTGTACTCATATCAACCATTATAATTAGGTTTGGACAAATCTATACTATTTTGTCTTTATTTCAGTCACCAATCATGTAATTCTACAATTTCCTCTTATAAGACCAGAAATTTTTCTACAAAATTTCATTGTTTTAAAACTGCATTGTTAACTTTGCATTTGAAAGTTCAATGGCTATGAAATTCAAAATTAACTCCATAAATAAAACATTTAAGCATCACTATTTTTGAGGTTTTGGTATCTTCTGATGCATGACATCCCACCAACCATCCTAAATCGGTTCCCAGCTATTCCTAAGTTGATTCATTCCTTTCCCCAATCCGAAGGAAGGCCATACTCTGACATTCATGCACCTCTATCTGTTTATGGAAGTATTTTCCCAACCACAGCCTTCTCCTGGTACCCACCTCTTGCCTAAGGCCCTTCCTCCAGATCTCAGTCTACTTCTCCCTCCTAACCTTAAACGTAATACACGAACCCACAGAGGCTCCACCATTTGAAAGTTTATCATGCTCAAAGTGTATCCTTAGCTCTTCTTCCAAGTAAAAAACAGATCCCAATAAAACCCATTAAACTTTGAATCACATTGAAAAGCAAACTTCCCTGATTTTGACCCTCCTACATTAGTTTATTTTCAAATTAAAAATTTTGTATGCATGCCCTCCCTTAAACACAAATCTAAAACACCCTTTACCTTCCACAATTTAAAAGAAAAAACAAAAATCAGAACCTTAAAATCTTAAACCTAATTCAACATTCTTCATTACTCAAATTTAATTGGAATATCAAGCATCTGAAACGAGGTTCAATGTCTTCTGTAGATGGAGCAACTACTTCCACAAATAATGTTATTCTCTAAGCCTTTATCAATCAATATTATACAAACTCGCAAGGAGGATTAGATCATTACTGATCAAATCACTGCTAGAGTATATAAGTACTTGGTTCATTAGAATAACCAACTTCCTCCAGAAAGCTCTTGAATATCAAAGGAAGAGTGCTTAAAGATGGCATCAGTCTACTTGAAGTGTGATATAATTTTGACTCCCCAGGGGTAAGTTCCTTTTGGCCTAAAAGAGTAAAAGCAGCATATGGACCCAAGTTCAAATTTAGAACTAAGTCCAGAATTTATCTAGATCAGACCAATGCATAAATTTGTATTCATTTTATCTTTGTCAGGCTCGTTCTTTTCTACTCTTAATCTTTCTATATCTAGACAGGAAGTTAGGCCTAGCCCCTACCCATCATTTCATTAAAACTAGTTAGTTGCAAGCGAGAGCCTTACATCACCTGAAATAGAAAACAAAAGAACAAAAACTAAATCAAGAAAAAAAATACAATGCTTCTTATTGTATGGGGCTTTCTCAGCATACCTGTTATCATTATGGAACCATCAACCGGGCAAAAAAAATCTTCATTTTCTGAAATAGTGCTGTTGAACATTGCTGGAGTAGAAGCCAATCTGTAAACAATTACTGATGGAATCAACATTTCAAGCCAATCATTTTGCAGCATGATTTTACAATGAAAATGATAGACCGGCCGATTTGATTGGGAGGGAATTAAGAAGTTTCCTAATTAAGAGGGAACTATTTAGGAAGGTTCTTAATCAAAGGGGAATTGTTTAGGAAAATTTTTAATTACATTTGGCAAGGAATTATTTAGGGCAAGAGATCTAATTTGAGTTCAAAATCTAAGAGGGAATTATTTAGGAAAAATGAGGAATTAAGGGGAATTGTTTAGGGAAGTTTTAATTACAATTGGGAGAGAATTAATTATGAAATTAAATCTAATTTGAATTCAAATCTGAGAGGAATTTATATAGGGAACGGGAGCTAATTTGGGAGGGAATTATGGGAGCCTATTTAAGGCGTGATTTCAGAGGATATTTGGAATTTGCTAAAATTATATTGTTCTTAGGGTGTTGGGCTCTAGCCAGCGGCTAGAGATTTGGGAGAGTCGGATCGTCCTCTCCAATCGAAGATCCAATTGTATCTTATATTTTTCTTCTTAGTTCCTTCAATAAAAAGAGTTATTGTATGTTCTTCCTAAATTTCTTATGTCGTTCTCTGGTTTTGTTGAAATCACATCCACTTCCTATCAAATTGGTATCAGAGCACGATCCGGGTACCTATGGAGGGAAGAAAGGTAGAAATGTTGGAATGGGAGATCAGACAATTGAAATCTGATTTTGTAAAGATTTCAGGTTTCAAAAAGCTATTTTCAGTCATCCATGAGAAGATCGAAGAGAAATTTGCCATCATGGAGAAGATGATAAAGAAGCTTCTTGAGGGCCAAACCAAACTGACAACATCGGAGGTGAGAGCATCGTTGACCGGACAAGAAAATTGGAGAAATCCTAATATAGGGATAATGAGGGAGAATCAAGAGGTGAAAATTTTTGTGGAAGAAGAGGAGATGCCATCTTTGAAATTACTTCCAAGGAGGGGAAATGGTGAAAGAGTAAGATTTTTTGTGGAACTGTAGAGTTTGGAAGAAAAAGAAGATAGGGAGAAGATAGAAGCACCAGACATGGTTCACCCACTCTTACAGGAATATCTAGAAGTATTCCAGCCAATTCATGGATTGCTTCCTCCGCAAGAACACAAGCATGCTATCTTTTGGAAGGACGGAGCCTCACATATCAGTGTTTGTTTGTACCATTATTCCCAACTCCAGGAGGATGAGATGGAGAGATTGATCAAGGAGATGTTGGAGGCAGAAATCACTCGATCTAGTGACAGTCCATTTTTCAGTCTAGTTTTATTAGTCCATTGCTTCGACAGCTGTTTCCTTCAGTCCACCTTGAGGACAATGTGACACTTTGGGAGGAGAGTATTGATAGACCAGCTGATTTAATTGGGAGAGAATTAGGAAGTTTCCTAATTAAGAGGGAACTATTTATGAAGGTTCTTAACCAAAGAGGAATTGTTTAGGAAAATTTTTAATTACATTTGGGAGGGAATTATTTAGGGCAAGAGATATAATTTGAATTCAAAATCTAAGAGGGAATTATTTAGGGAAAAGGAGGAATTAAGGGGGATTGTTTAGGAAAATTTTAATTACAATTGGGAGGGAATTAATTATGAAATTAAATCTAATTTGAATTCAAATTTGAGAGGAATTTATATAGGAAAAGGGAGCTTATTTGGGAGGGAATTATGGGAGCCTATTTAAGCTAACTATGGGGTGATTTCAGAAGATGTTTTGGAGTTTGTTGAAATTAGATTGTTCTTAGGGCGTTTGGGCTCTAGACAGCGGCTAGAGATTTGGGAGAGTCGGATCTTCCTCTCCAATCGAAGATCCAATTGAATCTTATATTTTTCTTCTTAGTTCTTTCAATAAAAAAAAAGGTTATTGTGTGTTCTTCTTCATAAATTTCTTGTGTCGTTCTCTAATTTTATTGAAATTACATCAACTTCCTATCAGAGAACAGTTAGGATGTTTGGATTCAATCCATGATTGTAAGCTCCTAAAAGTCATAAGAACATTTCAAATCAAATATAAGGTTTTAAAACAATTATAGTGCTAAGAAACATGCTATTGTACTGCAGAACTGGGATGCGCCAAATGCATGGGCTCCCAACAATGTGAGATTTGGGGAAGGGTTAAAATTCACATCGTTCCTTCGCATTGCAAAAGAGGTTGTTTTCATGGGCGGAGTGCAGATGAATTGGGGCATAAAATACACTCAGAATCATCATTCCATTACTGAAAATACAATTCACACTCGAATGGAATAAGCGACTCAAGAACTAACATAACAACGAAAAGATTTTTTGCTCACCCATAATGAACAACATCCAGTCCAGCACTTGCAAGTCCACGAGAAATGGCATCCTGAAGATGCAGCAATAAAACTTTCAAGCATACTGAAGGTGTAGTTAGCAAAGTTAATAAAGATTAATTACAACTTCCAAAATAGAGTTTCTATATATGGTCTAGTTTATCGAGATAAAACCTACCACTGAAAATTGAATGATTACGCAAAAGCTACCAATCAAAACCGTAATAGAATAATGGTATGAATATCCATATGATTTACAAGTGACGCAGATAATACTGAGTGTGTATTGTGGTTGTGTTTGAATAATTTAAGATATCGATATACTTGAGGTACAGCTAGGAGCCTCTGCAACATGCCAGGTAGTCCATTTCTTTTAGTTAAAACAACAGCGTAGCTAGGAAATGCCAGAGTCATAGACATAGTTACCGAAACACAGGATTGAGTGCTCATCTGAACTGGCCGGTGATAAGGGAAGAAGGAAAGGGGAGAAGGTAACTAAAAATAGTCATGGTGGGTCACTAAGTCAAGGAGGGCATTGTGAATGTTAGAGAAAGAAAAATTCAACTGCATATTATAGGCCTGCAATACTTGTGAATACTTGTGATTATTCAAGAAGATTTATATAACCTTGTCAATGTATTCACTTGTGAATATTCAAGAAGATTTATATAAACTTGTCAATGTTTGGAAGGTTGGTTATTCTCGGCGCCTCCTCCAAATACTTACATCATATACAGGCATAAAAAATTTAATAGTCTAAGGTTGGGAAGAGGAGAAGATCCAGAGAAAGTTTATAAACATAATAGAATGCCAAAGCCTCAACCCACTTGATCCATAACAAAATTCTAGGACTGCCCCTTAGGGGTGTCAATATTTGACACGACCCGAAACCGACCCAAAAATTATGGGTTAGGGTCAACTCGTTTGTCATATGGGTTGGGCTCGGGTTCAAAAAACAAACCCGTTTCAAAAATCGGGTTGGGTTCTAGCTGACCCAGAAACCCGAAAATGACCCACTCGCAACCCGGATCCGACCTACCGCAGTCCCGCTCCGCGCTCGCGACCCGGATTCGCCTCTTCCGGCGCACGATCTCGCCTTCCCGCTCCGCGCTCACGATATGGATGGCCGGATACACCTCGCCCGTGGACCACAACCTACTAGGCTCCTACCCTAGCAGCCTAGCTCACCCGCTCCATCGCTCCTGCAAGACCCGCGCAGATCGTGAAAGTTCAATGAAGGGTGTTAAACCTCGTTGAACTACCCACGACACACCAAGAGAGGGGTATATAAATTAGGATTTTAAAAATTTTCTTTAAAACAAAAAAATCTTTTTGATATTTTCAAAGAAATTAAATCACCCAATATAAAGACTAATAAATGCAATAACAATCACAACGATGGTGACAATTCAATCAAATCAATCCACTACCAACCACAACATTCTCAACATGAATTTTTCAAAAAAAAAATCGCATAAAATTAAAATGCGAAAATAAAGTGCATAAAAGAAAAGTAGAACTAGCACACCATAATTTTATAATAGTTTGGTCAATTTTAAATTACGTCAACTCCCAGGAGTCCTCTCCGAGTATTGCGCTAAAAACTATAGTGTCTCTCATTTAGCCCCCACATATAGGCGAAGAAACCCTTACAATCTTTTCATCAACCCGGTGCGACAGAGAACATTGACTCATTTTTCACTCTCCTGGTGAAGGCAAAGAACCTCGACTCGTTTTTAACCCTCATGGTGAAGGCAGAGAACCTTGACGATCTTTAACCATGAATTTCTTCCACCCACGAAATCAAACAAGACACTTGGAGGAAACAAGGTAGAAGCTTGCCCGGAGTAGCCATATGAAATCCCCTCACACTCCTCACGCTCAATCTCTCATTTCTTCTTCCCAAAGCTCTCCAAGGTCACTCTCAAAGCTCTCTCTCAAGAAAAAACAACAGCCAAAGACTCTCAAAGAGTCTCTTAAGAAAGTATTTAAACAAGGCTTCAAAAAACTCTAAATTTTTTTTAATTTGGACATCATTGTTTGTACAGTACGATCAAGGGTCGTATACACCATCAAGGATCGTACAGCACAATTAGTTCAAAAAATTGGGTTCGTTCAGTACAATGGAATAATCATGGGACGAATTGTTCAGTTTTTGTGTACTGATCATACAATATGATTAGTTCAATTTCCTTCAATTCTTATAGGATGATCACTGGGACGATTGAAAATCGTCTCTGTCAATCGTTTAGTATGATTTATACCATACTATACGATTAATTCAAAAAAATACAAAGTTCATCCACTACGATATCCGAGACAATCGGATTTTGACTATGCCGATCGTCCAATATGATTTATATCGTACAGTATGATTTATCATATTTATTAAACATTGATTTGATTGATTAATTATAGTGATTACTTAAAGTAAGTTTCAAATATCGTACAATACAAATTGATCGTACAGTTTGATCAGTTTAAAGAAACAAAATTTTTAAAACTTACATAAACTGTTTGGCTGCTAGGGTTTATGTATTAAATTAATCGTACAGTACGATTTGAATCGTATAGTATGATTAGCTTAAATTTATTAATTAAAAATAGCAAATTTAAATCATTTTAAAATCAATTGACCGTATAGTACGATTAGGATTGTACGGTATGATTAGTTCAAAATTTTTAAAAACTTTGTTTCTCACTCCAGTATTGAGTTGATCACTTTGCACGGAGTACGGCGGACCTGAAATGTTAGTGCACGAAAATAAATATCCAATAATAATAGAAGAAAACATTATATACACACCAATAATGTTTGTTATCATCAAAATCATAAGATCAGGGACCAGATTTGCAACAGACCACGATCTCGCCCTCCCGTTCCCGCAGGATCCGCTCCAGCTTTGCCGCTCCCGCATGGTCGCATCCTTCTCGGACTCTCATCATACGCATCTGCACCCTGATGGCAAGCACTATCGCCTGCTCATAACACGCGTTCTCACTCCATCACTCAACCTGTTAAAATTTGGGTTAGCGGGTCAGGTCAACCCGATGACCAGATGGGTCGAGTCGGTTCGGATCTAAACTTTCAACCCGTTTACAAAATAGAGTCGGGTTGGGGTCAACCTGTTTGAACCAGAGTCAATTCCGGGTTCGACCCGAACCCGACCCAAAACCTGATTTTGATACCCCTACTGCCCATACCATAGAAATCGATAATAGTAACACACTTGGTATCATAAACAAGGAAGAAATCGATAATGTCATAAAATGTAGACAAAGATCAGGAATAAATAGTATCAAACATCCAATTAAACCTTATTGTCAAGCTTAAATTCGTCAAATAAAAACACTTTCCAAAGGAGGAGACAATTTTCTAAAATAGCATGAATGCAAACCAAGGTTCTTTAAACTATAAGAATAGTATCCACTCAAGGTTTAGCAACGCAAGATTAACAATTAAAAAGGAACAATCAGAGTTTGGCAGCTCATATGTTAGGTCAAATGGAAGTGATAAGGTTACAACAACAACAAAAGAAAAAAAAAATTGGAGGCAAATGACAGATCATATTTTGGATTATAACATCAATGATCGAAAGGTTCCATCTTACAAGCGGTCACCAGAAGATATACTTGGAATACTGAAGCAATAAGAACCTACGCCATATTGATGTAGGACTGCAATGCTAAAAGTAATTTGGTAAGAGCTTGCACAACTTATTGATTAGAATAATAAAGATTAGGACTGTTAGCAAATAAAACGACAAAGTAAAATGTAAGGGCGGTCACTTCCGTTTATGCTAAGTTGCAAAATAAGAACTTTGAATCATCAAAATAACATAGGAAATCAACAACATGCAAATATAATAGCTTTCAACGAAAATTCCTAATCTAACAATAAGATTAGAAACAATGAAGTGCACTCAATCCCTATGTTTACTAAGCTCGGCAGAATTAAGCAAATATGATCTTCATGACTAAAATCAAATCACAAGAAAGAGAGTTAGACTAAAGAAATACAAGATGAGGAAGAGTGGAAGACCTTCGTCAAGGCTCGGATGTAATCCTCCACTATACGGTACCAAGTTGCTCTTCAATAGCCTCGACCAAAGTGTCCAAGATGCGTTCTACATACTCTTGTAAAGTGTGATCGATGCGCGGGTTGACGTCGAAGAAGGTCGAGTGCAAAAATGTAAACAAATCCCTGCTTGTCGTAGGCGATGGCGTAGTCAAGATCTGGATCGGTCATTCATGAATGCTAGATGACGGTCGCTTCCGAAGATCACTAACAAGGTACCTTGAACCCCATTAAAGAGAAAGAAGTTTCTTTTCAACTTGAAGTGGAGATGATGAAGTATGGCCGGCCAAGTAGGTTGAGAGGGTAAGAACAAATTAAAAATCTGAAATAAATTTCAATTTTTTAATGGGGAGGGAAATAGGAATCAAGTTTGAATTTAATTACTAGAGGGGAAAGAGGTGTTAATGTAGATAGAGGGGATTGGAGAGAGAGAGAGAGAGAGAGAGAGAGAGAGAGGGCGGGTAGAGAGATGGGTGGATGAAGGAATTATTTCTAAATCTTATTGTTAGGATTTGGCAAGTAAATAAAAGAAGAGATCTTTGAGAATTTCGGCCAAAGAGGAATCATGGGTTTTGGAAATATTTCCAAAGTTAGGGAATTGGAATTAGGAAAGAATTTCAATTCCAATCTCAAAGGGGGCCGGCGGCATTGATTGCCATGGGGGGCAATTAATGGGAGGGATTAAGGGTTTCTTAAATTGGGTTTAAGAAATAGGAAAAGTTTTAATTAAATCCAAATGAATTTGAAATTCAAATAGACTTCAATTTTGGAAACTTTCCTAAAATAGATTTTATAATTTTAGGAAAGATTTTAAATTTCAAATTAGGTGAATTTGAATTCAAAATCTGACCAAAATTATGGCAATATATAATAGGAAATAAATCCAAGAGAGGGCAAGGGGCTAGGGGCCGGCGGCTTGCTTGGGGTTCGGGTAAGGGAGCCGGCGACTAGATGGAGGTGGTTTGGAGAAATCGATGGGTGGAAAGAAGGGGGCTCGGGTGGTGGTGAAAGCTTGGACAACGGTGATGCAGGGAGGTAAGGCCGGTGGTGGTGGGGAGGGAGGGAAGAAAGAAATAGAAGATATAACCACGAACCCGACTCTTCTAGGTTGGTGGGCGATGCACAATTCTCCCTCTCCTAGAGATCTCACTCCAATCTCTCAAGCTCTCATGAGAGTTCAAACAAAGAGAAGCAGAGTTTTCAAATAATCATTCATTAATTCTCAAAAGAAGAACACTAGGGCTTTAAATAGTCTCGTACAAAGACTCACAACAATAAAAGGACGACAATGCCTCTAGGGCTTACATACGACCTCCCTTAATAAAAGGGTACAACGGGAAACTAATAAAGCAAATACAATATGACATCATAAATAATAAAAAAATACATAAAATAACTCAGAAATACAATGACTCAATCGTGACCGTAGATCGACGGCCACATCTTTAATAGACTCTCCACGATCTGATATCCCCATCACATATTTTAGAGAAGTTTGTAGATGGGATTCTGGTTAAAAATAAATAAATATGTATCAAATCTATTTATGCCATTACATATTATAATTTGCTAAGAAAAATTACCATAATTAAATATGGCTGCGAACATGGATATCACATGCTAAAACTGAATGCAGCAGATAAATTATGAAGCACTGAGCTATTGCCAATCGGCAACTTACAATTTTCAGCCTGCTTATTTTAAAAACACTATGCCACATAAATTTTAGCATAAATACTTGTAAAACTCAAGGTGTGTGTAACACGGTTGCTGAAACAACAATAGAAAAAAAAAATATTGCTGTGCAAGTCAAGGAAATATGCAGTAAAAAACAAGTTTGTCCCCATCACCTGTTTCGAAATAAATTTTATTATGTGTACAGCCCATATAGTTCACTAAATGAACATACATGCTGAAAGAGCTAGCAAACTAAATTTCAGTTAGATGGCATGAAATGCTGCATGATCTAGTCTCAATGATAATAAAAGATCAAACATAAACCTGCAATGTTTGTGCTGAAATTCGTGAATCAAGACCAATTGAAACCCTGAGGCGCTTTGATGCAGTTGGTTTCTTTTTGTCTAATAGCCATGCAGCAAAAGCAGCGCCAATTGCTTCTGAAACAGGCTCCGTTAGGCTGATAGGTTCCCCCTCGACACCCTCAACTGCCACACCTCGAATATCACTGCAGCAATAAAATCAACATTTAATCTTCTACACACATATGTTTTAATAGGAGAAGGACTTATATATTTGTAGTTCATCTTCTCCAAATAGATATTTTGTAAATATAAAACAAAGCCTGGTATTTTTTTCTCCAATGGATAGCTGATTTTAACAAACTGATAGAGGGTATTTTTTACATGTTTTAAGCCCAATAATTGCATATATATATAATCTCATTACATTAGCCATTCACAACACAGTTAAGCAAAAGTTTGCATCATTCTCTATTATTTTAAGTCAATTGTTATTCCCTCTCTTTCTTTAAGCCTTCTTGAATAACTACGTACACCATTATTATTATAAAGGCTGAGATCAAATACTTAGTGTTCTTTTAGTAATCGCTTGTTATTCTTGGTTTCTCCTCCCCAACAAATAAACGGAAGGATTGCAATTGGCTGCTTAGCAAGTGAATGCAAAAGAGGGGCATAGAGCAATTCTCAAAAAGAGCAAGTACTCGAAGAGATGATGTCGGCAAGGTTCAAGGATGAACCGTTGAACCATAATAGCTATGTATCACATTTATTTTTCTACATATACTTTTATTTTGTATTATGATATATTCTTAGGTGAATTGAAATTGATTTTGCAATCAATTAAGAGTTTAATTAATAAACCAATTCACCTTGACACTCCTCCAAGGTTGTGCCCAAAACCCCTTTAATTTCCAAAAGGTTGTCAACTTCCTGCATGATAGTTTTTCTTCCGAGCAATAGGCTTGAAACCTGGATCAGATTTGAGCAATTATATAAACAAGTTCAAATCATATAGATAAGTGATTCCCCGCTGAGATGAACAAGCCCTCAAACATGACGCTGCTCATCCCCAATACATTGTGATGGACGCCTTTCCAATGTAACTGGGTAGAAGCATTACTCCAATAGGAGAGAGCATATCGGCGAGTGGTTCCATATGAACCCATCTACCCATCCAGGACGGTGACTAACAAGGGTTAACAGCATGTAATCAGTTGATTGATCCTATTATTAGTTGTGGAGCTCTGTGATGTCCTTTAGGCTATATGAACATTTTTGTAGTTTTAATGAGCACGTACATGCATATTACATTGTTTTCTTGATGGCCATAACAGAGGATTCTCTACTGAGCTGTGGCTTTGCTCCTCATTGTTTACCATAATATATTTTGTTGTAAAAAAAAAGAATACCTATCAGAGCACTACGGAATCCGTGCATACACTAACACTTTCAAATAAGAATTTTTTGATTGTTTATTTTTTTTTCATTTTCAAGATGAAAGTAAACTTCAAATGACGGATATTGTAAGTAAATGCAAATCGGAACCACTTCAATCTCTGTCTGAAGTTTTGCTTCAAGTAATCTAAACTGTTTACACTCATGAACTTAATCAGTCAATGGTGCTTCATTATTGATTCTTTTGAGGTATAACATAGTTGCACTTAACACCCTTCCTATAATATAGAAAACTCACAATGAATATGCTGCAAGCCAACCTCCAGCTATCTTTAGAAAAAACAAAGAAACATTCATAACATTTTTAAGATACCTGGCATACTTACGCATCCCTAGACAATGAAGAAACAAAATAAATATTTTAAGAAGCTATATTGGTTTTTTTTTGCATTGTTCAACAACATCTATTTACTAAAGTAATAACGTAATGTATTGATGAATAAACAAAATTGTACCTCCCATTTTGCAGTTTTAGAAAGTTTACTTTCTCAGATAATGGAACATCGCTTGTACTAGTAACAGCTGAAACAAATAAGGAAAAGAATGTGAAATATAAATAGATAAAGCTGCAAACTTTGTAAGGTAAAATTGCAAAAACAAACAAAATACTTCCAATTAGTAATAAACAATAAAATTGACTTGGTTAACACTGAATTTTCACCACTATGATGCGGAGCAGTTATTCAAACTGAAATATGACAAACACATCTACGAGCCCGATAATATTGCTCATTATGAATATGATATGGCCTAAAGTTATCCTTGAGATCAACCTGAAAGGCGAGTCTAGAACTGACCATTGCAATGAAAATTTGCTCTGTCTGCAATCTTATATGCTGGTAAGGAATGCAACTGAACTAACCATGTGCCAGAGTATGCAAGCTTCAATCCCTGCATGGGACGTCTGCTAAGCATTTCAAGGACAAAATTGTCCCTACGATATCGAGTATGAAATAGATTATTAAGTTTGCAATGGTGCGAGGCATGCACAATTTCACCAGTCATCCCCAGTATTGCTGCACCCAAATTTACAAATCTATTACGAATATCAAAATATATTTATATATAGATATAGAAGAAATAATAAAATGCTACCAATTTGCTAAAAATTTACTAATTGCCATAGAATTACTAACAAACTTAATGAAAAAGACAAAAATAACCTCAACAAATTAACAAAATGACCATGAGGTCTAAAAAACCTAAAAGGATTATAATAATAAATTCAAAATTTATGTCCGCAACAAAGGATACCAAAACAACATCATCCTCACGTCCTCTTCATCACCATCAATAGACTCATATTTATGAATCATTATTCTCCATACATTTAAAGGTGTTGTTTAAGATGTTAAATTGATTTTGTGCAAATTAATTTGCACTTCTATCTATGTTACATTTGGTCTCTACCCATTTCTACTTCCTAATCTTTCCATATTACTTTATTTTCCCACCTTATTGATGCATCTACAACTCTCCACAATACATAACTATTGATGGGGACATCAAATCAAGGAAAGTATATCAGAGACGTGGCCGACAATCTACGGCCACAATCGCGCCAATCTATTTTTGAGTCTTTCATATGTATGTGTTTTATTTATTTGTTTTATGTATTTGTTTTAGTTGTATTCCCCTTTTTACCCTTACTTAAAGATTTGTAATGTGTAAGCCCTAAGGGCTATGTTGTCTTTTATTTTCTCTTTCATTGTATGAGGCTATATATAGCTCCCTTATGTTTCTTTTGAAAGTAATGAATGAATTACAATCAAATTTCTTCACATTGAGTTCTTGTGAGAGCTTGAGAGTCTTTGGAGAGAAATCCCTTGGAGAGGGAAGCGGATCACCCACCAACCTTGGAAGAGTCCGGGTTCGTGGCTAGTTTCTTCTTATTTCTTCCTCCTCTTTCTCCCTCCCTTCCTTTCCACCCACGGCCCATCCAAAACCCTACCGCCGGCTAAGACCACTTCCCCCACTCCACCTAGCCGTCAGCCATCCAAGGTGATTCCCCTTTGGTTGGTTGATCCACTTAATTCCCTCACCTCCACCTAACCCTAATCCAAACCCTAGCCTAGCCGTCAGCCTCTCCCTTCCCCTTGCCTCCAAATTTTCAATTCCCTCATCATTACTTCCCTATCCTATAATTTCTCTTTTGGAAAGGTTTTCAATTTTAATTATTCAAATCAAATTTGAATTTTGAAATGTTTCCTAAAATAGAATCCTATTTTAAGAAAGTTTCTAAAATCAAATCCAAATTAAATTTGAATTAGATTGGAATTAAATCCTATTTCTTAATTTGAGAATCCCATTTAAGAAAGTAATGACCCTTGCTTATTTCCCCCAAATCTTCTCCCTATGCCGCCGGCCCCATGCTTGCCCCCACTTGAATACTTTCCAAACTTCAAGCCTCACTCTTTGGGAAGAATTCAAAACCCCTCCCTCTCTCTTAACCACCCCTCCCTCTTCCCAAATCATCATAAAATCCTTTCCTAATTCAAGGATTAATTAGGAAAATAATTTCTTAACTCCCTCGTCCTCCCTCCTCCAAAAAAATATGAACCAAATTCTTCCCCAAACCCCTTCATTAGCCGGCCACCCTTTCACCTCTTCCCCGACTTGGATTATTGAGAGAAACTTCTTTCTCTCAAGGAAAATATACAAGGACAGTAAAGGGACATCATCTACAACCCTTCAACACAAATAAATTGAAGCATGGTCGATCATGATCTTGACTCTGGCTTCGTCTACAACGAACAAGGCTTCGTCGACATCCTCCGATCGCCTTTCTTCGACGTCAGCCCGGAAGCAGGCAGTTTCGCCGAGTACTTGGGGCATATCATCTTCACATTGTTCGAAGCCATCGAAGAACAGTTTTCCACCGTTCAGTCGCAAATCACCACCATGCAATGACGAGGGTGAACTTTTCCTCCTCTTCAATTTTCTCCCTAATCTTCTTCTCTTGTAGGTTGTGAATCAAGCACAAGGAATCGTGCAAAGCCCTCTGCCAATGCTTAGTAAATGAGGGCATGAGTTTTGATCTTCTAAGCATCTAATCTCATTGTTAACCTAGGGATGCTATTGAACATCCTCTAAATTTGCATATGTTAAAATTCTAATTGCTTTGGTGATCTTAACTAGTAGCGTGTGATTTGGCATAAGCGAAGCCGCCCGTCTCTTGTTTTCTCTTTTTGTTTAGTGGCTAATGTTTTGATCCTTATTAATCTTTCTAAAAAGCGTGCAAATTCTTTTACATTCATTATAATCATACCTAGTTCTGCATCAACTATCCACCAAATCTATTTCCGCTTTGTCTTTTATTGGTGCTACTGCCATAATCCCACTTGCACAACATTTCATAATCTATCCATTCTAATTTGCCACACATATCTTAATAATTTAGTCACATTCAACTTGGCTATAAGTAACCTATTTATCATCTAAGACTAAGATCTATAATAAGATCAGGACTAAATGACTAATAAAAATTTTACAAATTTACACTGAAATCTATTATATCCTCTTATCTCACATTTCCAAATAAGACATTTTTTTTTTATTTTTAACCACCCAATCTTTAAAAAATGCATAATCCTTTTTCTATATAATAGATCCAAAATACTTAACATATCACAACAAAATGAAAAGTGATCCTCTAGCAATATTGACTCATACTAATCCATTTCAGCCCATTAAGATTCAATATTGTATATTAAGTAGTTATTCTACTTAGCGCATCTTCCAAATTGCCTTCATAGTTTTATATACTACTTATTTCAGTAAAGGCCATACTGAATATAATTGTATCATCTATAAATAGCACAAACCAAAACTGTAACACCCAATTTTTCCTAAGGTATAATGCTAAATTGCCTCAATTCAATTATACCCTAAAATACCAACTTAAATAAGTCATTGTGTTCTACTCGTCAAATGAATCAATTTGATATATAGAAGTTTTGAATTTTTTTTTTTTAAGTTTACTTTATTGTTCCTTTATTAAAGTTATTGTGGTAGTAACTTGATTCTAACAAATCCACTAGCCTTCGCATGCAATGATGGAGATGTAACCAAATAGAAATGATAAAAGGAGGTGAAGGGTGTTGTACGATTAATGTATTTATTAATCTAATAAATATAATCAATTTTGACTAATAAGTAATTAAATAACTTCATTTAACAAAATTTCCTTCAGCTGGAGGCTTTTAAGTGTAAACTTGGAGTAGAAAATCAAGAGCAAGCCGAAAGGAGGAGAAGAAAAGCTAGGGTTGAGGGGGAAAATTCCGGTTTTCACACTTTCTTCGTTAAATTGACTATGGATTAGAGTTGAGGACGTTCAGATTTATATGGAGAGAGATTTAATTTGGGGATAGTCTACTGGCAAAAAATTCCTTAGATAGATTGGTGATTAATGATGGAAATTGCTTCCATTTAAAAAATAGTATAATGTGCTAAATGGAATAATCATCATCATCATAAATTTTATTAAGTATTAGTGATGTTACTTAATGAGTTAGTAAAGTGTTTCTTTGTTCGCATCGTGTCAATCTAGAGGAGTTTTCATGGATATGACCTAAATGCCGAGCTTTGGATATATTTTGTTCAGTATCTCCACAAACAATACTAAACATACAATTTAAAGTTGACTCTTCCTGTAATCCTACCTAGTTATGACCTCTTCCATCACTCCACAAATACTTCTAATACCAGTCAAAACTCCAAATTGACCTAAAGTAGTTTGCAAGTCTTATGGAGCTAAACTAAGCTCACACTCATATGGGCTGGTTTCAACTAAAAAACATAGCTCGGCTCAACTGACCTATGTGTGCATTATGTTTACTCTTAGGTTGAGCAACATTAGAATCTCGTGCGATAGTCTAAAACTAATAGGCCCATAAAACTTCAAAATGTCTTGTCATAACTCAAAGGCTTTTAACAAATTATTCTTATATTGCAAGCATCGTTAAATATAGGTTAAGTTAGTGGTATGTTTGGATAAGCCTATTTAACTAAGTGACCACCTCACGAGCAATTCCCCTGTTGACTTGCCGGTTAACTGAACAAAGTCAAATGGTTATAGGATGACATGGCATTACCAAAGAAGGAAATTACATTGGCAAAGACCAGGTGAAGATTTCACCAAATCAAGCCAATATGTGCAGCCCATAATTTATAGGAATAACCATCAAACAAGGTCCTTTATGAGTTATAGGGCAGAGAGGTTATCCCAAAACTATCATAATCCACCCCCAATTCCAATTAAGTTGAACATGACCAAATTTAAAGAGATTTGGTCATATTGGTTTATGTCTAATCAAAATTGACATAATTTAATAATGATCACTGTCCATCTCAAATTACGTGCAATTCTACAAACCTTTGTAGTTGAACTTCACTTGCACCAAAGAGCCTCAAATTAGGAATTAAATCAATTAATACAACTTAAATAGATGAATTCGGCACTAATTACTCACGCAAACCAAAAATTCCATTAGCTATAATAAAATAAGGCTAATCAACGTAACTAAGCAAGAAGAATTTGGCTCAATCCTAAAAAAGGCATGCACAAATCAACTTAAAGGGAGCTACAGCTACTCAATCTCCATATTCATAGTTTGAACCAGACTTAACCAAATCTTAAGCTAAATTAAACATGAGTCAATATCCATCTCTGAGATGTAAATCAAAACAATCTCAATCTAATATGATTTCAATTATAATCATTTAAGATCAATTACAAAACCATTGGAACTAACTCGACTTAAATCACATCTAACTAATGCAAATCTAAGCAGCTTGGCGCAAATTTGACTAGAACAACTTGAGGATGCTCAATCTTGACCCAACTAATTCAGGCTCAGCTTAATTGTGCTTGAGATTGACCTAAAGTGATGAAGTCTAATCCATTAAAACAAGCCTCAATATAGCAAGTTCATGCTTGAAACGGGCTCAGGCACAACCTTATATGGATCTTATCCTCCTATAAAACTTTAAAATGAACTTGAAAGAAAAGGATTAAAGATGATATTGGAAAGTGATGCAACTTGTTCCAAATACTCCTTATTCCATTCTATTTTTCTTCTAGTAAGCTTTATCTTTAGTCATGTCCTTCACTTGCATTCTTTTCATGAATGGTAAACTATCATCGGAAAAAAACTAGTAGCTCAATTCACTCAAACATGATATCAAATAACCACTTAATAAAATGACATAACTCTTGCATCATGCTCAGGTCACTATTGCGCCTTGTTTTTAGTTTTTTTCTTTTTTTTTCATTTCGGCCGCACCTATGAACTAATTTAGTGCATTACACTCTCACACAACAATAATGCCGCCACGTTAAATAGAAAACTTTAGTGCATTCTAGAGACCATAAAAGTAATTGTAAACATCAACCCAACGCATCATTCAACAAGTGCATTGTTTCTAATGCTAAAGCGGTATTTCTCACCATTAGGTGCAAATGATATCAACCTTCTTGATTAACTGTCTTTATATACTAAGAACCAGACAAGGCGGGAATGTTTTTGTGGTCTTAGTTTTGGCAAAATATGCGACCTCTAACACCTCATCGAGAATTCTTGGTAAGCCTGGCAATATAGTTTCAACACAGCAACAGGAAAAGCAAACGCAGGTGAAAATAGATCAGAACCAATGCTGAATCGTTTGAATTTACTCATTTAATCCGATTGGTGAAATATCAAGGAAATCTCCTTTGCGCACCTGCTCTGATCATCTCTCCGCATCGTTTCCAAGTAGTTAACTATGCAGTCGGAACTCCGGATCGACAAAAAACAAAAAACGCTACAGTAGGGGACAAAAAAAAAAACCGCTACGGTAGGGGAGAAATTTGACCGAAAAGCAAACTAATTATAAGGTTTTCTATCACCAATTCCACTGCGGGTAAAACTCCATAGAATGGGAGGAAAAAAAATCAACCGTGAAGAAGAAGAGGAAGATGTAAGAGGCGAGAGTAAAACCTGCCATCCCGACTGAACGAATTACAGAATAGGATTCCTTTAGTGGAGATGACCTAGGATGAGTATCTGGCTATCTGCGGTCCAAGGACCTCTCCGTCGGATAATTTATAAGAAGGAGCAGGTTCAGCGAATTCTGCATTTTTCCCGCATTTTGTAGAAAGCGGAATTTTTTTTTTTTTTTCTATTTATTATAATCCTTTGTTTAATGATATATCTAAATGGTGAAAATTAATACAACTTTACTCACCGTAACTATAAAAAATATATTAATTTAATTAAAAATTATATATTTTATTTTTTTTGGGTAAAATTAGGGCAAAAGCCCTTCTATTTATCAAGAAAATTACATGTAAGGTAAGCAGTTATAGGTATACTATACCCACCCAGCCCAATTCAGAATTAAATGAAAAAAAGAAGAGTGACAGATTGCATCAAATCAAGGACTCAGAATACAAGACTGCAACAAGATTATCACATAAGCAAAAAGATAATCAAACGGAAATGAAGCAGGTTGCCACTGCGAAGATGCAGGACCATCTCAGCTCCACAGTATACTCTTGAAAAATGCCCAGGGATCCTTGGTTGCCAATAAGACCGTCCAAAGGGGGCTGTTGCAGTCCAAATCTCATCATCGTCCACTAAAATTGTGAGACCAGCTCGAATGATCGCAGTCATAGTAAGTTTCTGAGGGTGGTAGCATGCTTCCAGTTGACAGTTTTCTCCAAAACTGCCTTTTTGATCATATAGGAATTGGCAAAGCTGCTGGATTGAGAGTTCCCAAACCTCTTAGAATTCCTTTCTTTCCATATGAAATAAACACAGCTGCAGATAGTGAGAGAATAAAGCTTTTTTTCCAGGTGAGAAAGACGAACATCCCCATTAACCCATTCAAAAAAGTTGCAGAATGTTGGGTCTAAGAAAGAGTTCCTTCGCAGTAAGTATGACCTCCAAAATTATGTCATAGGAATAAGAGCATTCAAAAAAATAAATGCGTAGTAGATTCAGGAAAGACATGACAAAGACTGCAAGTAGGAGGTACAATAATATTCCTTTTAAGCAATTCATCCGCAGTTTTCAAACCTCCAACCAAATCCAGCCAAGTAAAGCTGGAAAATCTAATAGCATGCTTCGGGTGCCAAACCAGATTAGACCAAGTGCATCTAGTAAGATTAGCATAGAACTCATAGAGGTAATCAGAAAATTTGCTCTTAATTCTATTCTCCCAGAGTAAGCAAATGTTGGAATCATAAAAAATAGGAATATCCTGAATAGCATCCCGAACAGGGCTCGGGATAGATGATGGAAGAGCCCAATTGCTGTTTAAAATGCAATTCCTGATAAGGGAATAATGTGGCATAGCTTGAAGCACAAAGAACCCATCAGAAAAGTCCTCTAACCTCCCATTATAACACCAGTGATCCCAAAATACCGAAATAGGAGAGTTGCAGTAATACGAAAAGAAAACTTTGGCTTAGCCAGAGCAGCAGCTGCACAAACAGATTTCCAGAATTTAGTGGCAGCAGATAGAGGAATGCACCAGGGAGATAAATACCTAGTACTAAGCCAGGTAGATAAAGGATAATTGAAATTATACATTCTCAAAATAACAGAACAGTTAAATGCATATTGAATACCACTAAGGGACGGAATCCCCAATCCCCCGAAATGCTTGGGCTTGCATACATTGTCCCAAGAGACCATATGTATCTTTCTTGTAATTTCGGGATCTCCAAAAAACAGAAACTTAGAACAGACTTTTTTAAAAAATTTGAAGACAGCCTTAGGTAAAATTGCTCCTCTAATCCAATATGCAATAGAATTTAAAATGGTGTATTTTAAAAACTGTGAACGGCCAGCAAAGGAGAGAAGATTCGCTTTCCACCCAGAAAGTTTTTTTGTAATACTATCCATGAGAGGCATGTAGTCAGTCAATTTTAGCCTAGTAAATGACAATGGAATACCCAGGTAGATAATCTTAAGACTTGTGTTATGTATAGATAAAGCTTGACAGAGCTCTCTATGGTTAAGCACATGCCTAGGAAACATAGCATAGCTTTTATCTAAATTGACATGAAGCCCGGAGGAGTTGGCAAATTTGGAGAGAATATTAGAAAGATTATTACAGTTATCTAAAGTAGCTTCTCCAAAAACGAGCACATCATCGACATATAACAGATGGGATAAAGAAAAACCATCCAGGCATATCCCTTTAACGCCACCATCATCAAGCATAGAGGAGAAAGCATCCATCACCAGACAAAATAAGAAAGGACTTAAGTGGCAGCCTTGCCTAAGACCGGCAGAGGAGGAGAAGTAACCCTCAAGTGCACCGTTTATAACGACAGAAAAATTGGCATAAAAAATGCAAGATTTGATCCATCTAACAAAAAGGGGAGGGAAACCCTTCTGCAACATTCTGGCCACCAAAAACTCTCTAGAGACAGTGTCAAATGCTTTACGGATGTCAAGCTTGGCACAAAAATACTTTGTGCAACCCCTTTTCTTAGCAAGAGTAAGAACTTCATTAGCTAGAAGAATATTATCAGTGGAGATCCTTGATTTGACAAATCCAGATTGATTATGTTTGACAATCAGAGGTAAGAGGGGCTTGAGCCTATTAGAAATGACATTGGCAATAATTTTGTAAAGATTATTGCATAAGGAAATAGGCTTAAAATCTGAGATGCTTTTAGCATGGTTGTGCTTCGGAATTAAAGCAAGGGCAGTCACCTTAATACCATAAGGAAGATAGCCTTTAGTGAAAAAAGACTTAACATCCCTACAAACCATAGGGCCTACAATGTGCCAACCAGTTTTATAGAAACGTGAATTAAAACCGTCAGGGCCATGTGTTGAATTGGATTTCCCATGGAAAACTGCCTTTTTAATCTCAATGTCTGAAACAGATTTTATAAGATCTTTGTGGTATGAAAGAGGAACCAAGGAGCCAACAGGAAATGAATCAATATCTAAAGAGATAGGGGGTGTCGGATTGAACAAAGCTTGGAAGTGTTGAATGATGCCTTTAATAATATCTCCTCTTTTTGTGTTAGGATTTGATGCTAGGAGATTAACTGCAGTTCTGGAAGTACATTGTCTACCCTTGATTTTTGCATAAAGAAATTTGAGGTCATCCTCACCATTTCTAAGCCAATTAACTTTTTCCTGCTGAATAACCCAAGAAGCCATGATTTTAGATAGCCTAGAAACCTGAAGATTGACATCTTTGAGTTGAGAATTTAAATGAGTATCAGTTGGGTACCCATGAATAGATTCCAAAATACGCATTTGTTGTTTGAGAAGCTCATAAAGAAAAGAGTTGGTTTTGGAGGCCTTTGCCCAAGGTTCCTGCTTAATGAAGAGTTTAATTTGCTTAAGAGTATGACACTGAAAGGACATAGGGTTACCAGTGATAGGCTTAGAAAAAGCCTCCAGAAGAATGGACCAGTAATTCTTAAAATGTGTCCAGTAATTTTTGAAGAGAAACCTATGTTGACAATTGAGCACAATATCATCCTGTAAAATAAGAGGGCAATGATCAGAGCTTGAAGGGCTATGAATGGAGTAGAAGGACCGCGGGCAGACATTATTAACCAGAGTCCTGTCAAGCTTGATATGAATGGGGAGATCGGCGTGCTGATTGAACCAAGTGAAAAAGGTGCCCACAGAGTTGAGGTCTTGAAGGCAATTATCAAAAATCATGTTATTGAATTCCAAGAGAGACCCATGATTAAGAGGAGAGCCTCCCACCTTTTCAGATTTGAATCTACAGCAGTTAAAGTCCCCCATAAGAAGCCAGGGAACGTCAGGGGAAGGATCAGAGCTGGAAATGATATTCCATAAATCCTTTCTTTCAATGCTACAGTTCGAAGCATATATAACATAAAGTTGCAAAAGATTAATAGAACTAACTGTAACATAACCCGTTATGATTTGAGGAGAAATATGCTGTGGAGTGAACTGAACCTTGTTAGCATTCCATTTAATCCAAATGCGTCCCGAAGAAGTAAAATTGAAATTATGGCAGCTATGTTCATTTGAGAAGACCTCATGAACCTTATCAAAGAAAGGATTTTGCAAAGACGGTTGATGAATCCTAGTTTCCAGAACACAAAGCAAGTCAAGCTTGAAGGAGGAAACAAGGCTTTTACAACTTAAGACTTTGTCAGGCCGGTTGAACCCCCTAACATTCCAGGACGCAATCCTAGGCAAAGACATCAAGAAATTTAAGGAGAGGGGGTCTTTTTGTTCTGCTTACCCCGAGCAGATTTTTTTGTCCCAACTGATACAGGAGGTAGATCCTTAGACTTGCTCGATTTGTTGTTATTTGCCAATTTGGCTTTTGGGTCCGGAGGGTTGTCAACCTCATCATGGGATTGTAAAATGTCGAATATATTAGGAGAGATAATTCCCTCTGGCGTGCCAGCAGCAGAGGCAGAGAGGTTGTCAGAGGAACCTGAGACAGAAGCAAAGGCCTCCTTCATAGGAGAATTAAGATTTGGTATGTTGATTTATGCTGTGTCCTGATCAGTCGGAGGGTCCGAAGCAGCCACAGGGGAGGAAGCAGAGCCCGAAATTTGGTTATGTATGGGGGGATGAGTCGGAGGTGTGGGAGAGTGGGGCTGATAGTGAAGGGGCTTACCAAAGCTATTAGTAATAAGGGCTTTCTGAACATTAGAAGGAGATGATGAGGTGGGAATAATTGTGGAGGGTTGGGAATCTCGAAGTGACTCAGTGGGAAGAGAGCTGGAAGGAGGGGGGTTATGAATACCAGGATTGGAAGAAGGCTTACGTGCCTTAAATCGACTCTGGCTACGGCCCCTCGGATGAGAAGGAGCAGTATTTGAGGGCTCGGACGACTGAGGCTTTGAGGGACAGTAATCTGGAGTGTGAACAAGAGACTTGCAATGATCGCATGGAGAAGACCTCCATTCATATTGAACCATCAGCTTGACAATATCTCCGTCCAAAGACACAAGAATTTCCTCTGGATAAAGAGCATTGCTATCCACCAAAACACAAATTCTGGCAAAGGTGAGACGGGTTTTCTTGGTAGTGAGGGAGTCAGCAGCAATGGGAATCCCTACCTTGCTAGCTATCCTAGAAATACCTTCGGAATTCCAACAAGCTAAAGGTAGA